CTGCTAACCTTTTTGCCTAAGTGCCCGAGTGGGCAATTTATTTCTTATTATAGTCAGCATCACAGTCTTGTCCGGCGGAGATCAAAATCATATTTACTTTGTGTGTTTTGATATAGAGGTGTAAATATTCCATGGTATCAAGTACATCCTGTCCCGTCCAAACAGGGCCTATAATGTAACGGAAATGCTATATAACACCTGTGTGTTTTAGCTCCTGGGCAAACATATTTTTTTTCAGCAGAACCGCACGTCCGCCGGCGCACGCGCCGCTGCCGCGCCTGCGCCGTCGCGCCCAGCGCCACGCCAGCTCCAGCGCCCGCGCTCGCGCAAGTGCTAGCACCCGCGCCTGCACCCACCTGTCCCCGGCCCGCGCCGCTGCTGCGGCCGGCATAGGAAACCAACTCCGGCGAGCTTCTTCTTCCCCAACTCCGGCACCACCCCAAATTTTGTCTCTGTCCTTTCATAGAAAAAAAATTGTTACTTGTGATTGTGATATCTGATTTGTTACTTGCGATATGTGATTTGTGCTAAGAAGGAAGATGAACAGTAACTGAAGATAGGAGGAATATGAATAGTAACCGTGTGGAAAAAATTTAGGTGTAACCATGTGTTAAAACACACGGTTATTAGGTAGACAGACTTTAATTCGGGCGAAACTGCTATGCCATCTGCCCTCAACAACATTTTTACACTTCGATTATTGATACATTATGCATTTATATGCAAGATTGTTTCTTAGTGACAAAAACACCGTCAACAAAACGATGACTCTAAATAAGTAAATAATAATTATGTTATTTCTACATGTCAGACCACCGCTAGTAAACCGAAGCACAAAAATTTCTCCATCTACTAGTAGTCAAGAAAAAAAAACGAAAATCACAAACGCAAAACACATATGTTCCAAAATTGTGAACAACTAACCAAAAACACCAATAGCAAACAAGCCCAAACTTCGGCGAGGCCTACTAGTGCCGCGTCAACGGCAGCAGGCGCACGGGCACGCCGTGGCGCGGCCGGAGCGTGAGCACGTTCACGGGCGCGTGGCGGTACTCGTCGGAGATGCCGAAACGGAAGCTCGCGAGCAGCACGGCCAGCACTACCTTGGCCTCGACCATGGCGTAGGCCTGGCCGACGCAATTGCGGGGGCCCGACGCGAACGGCAGGAACCGCCCCGCCCACGGCCGGGCCCGCCCCGGCGCGAACCGGTCCGGCCTGAACTCGTGCGCGCCCGCTCCCCACACGGCCTCGTCGTGGTGGATGGCCAGCACGGGGATCCACAGCGACAGCGACGCGCCCTTGGGCACGCGCAGCTCGCCGGCGCCGGAGCCGGAGCCGAGCGTGATGTCCTCGAAAGCCATCCGCGGCAGCAGCGTCGCCGGCGGGTACAGCCGGAGCGTCTCGTTGATCACCATCTGCAGCTGCGGGCATGCATGCACCACCAAGCCGTTACAATCGGCCAGTGGCTGGCAAGCGTGGACGGAATAATGGATCGCCGGATCAGAGTCAATGGCTTGGCTTACCACGGTGAGCTTGGGGATGTGGTCGGCGGTGGGCGGGGCGTCGCCGCAGACGCTCGCTACCTCGGCGCGCGCCTTGTCCTGCCACGAAGGGTTCGTGGCGAGCAGCATGATGGCCCAGGTGAGGAGGAGCGCCGACGTCTCGTGACCGGCGAAGAAGAACGTCTTGCACTCGTCGATCATCGTCTGGGCGTCGTACCCCAGCTCGCCGTCGTTGCCGGACTTGGTCCTCGCCTTCTTCTCATTCTTCTCCATCTCCGCCAGCAGCATACCGAGGAGCCCCATGCCGCACGCCGACGACGGCGTCCGGCCCTCGTCGGCGATCTCGCGGCTGCGCTGGATGGACTCCTTGAGCAGCCGCTCCAGCTCCCCGTTCAACCGCTTTATTTCCCGCCTGTATTTGCTTGGGAAATACCTGCAATTTATGTAATAAAAATATATTAAAAAAACTGGTGAAAGGCGTGTGTACACTGACAGGAAGGGCCCAGTGACGCTTTTCAGTGCGGCGGCCTGGTCCCACTTGTTAGTGATGATCTCAAAAAAAAGGTACTAGTGCTCACTGGCTGCCAGGGACCCAGAGGTAGCGGCTGGAGCGCGCCGTGAGCCGCTGCAGCTCCTCTATGAGGCGGAAGATGCGCTTGCCCGTGTCGTAGCTCGTGTCGAACTCGGTGCGCGCGATGATGTCGCCGGCGAGCCTCGCCATGTGCGCGCCCACCTCCACCTCGTTGCCGCCGCGCGCCACCGCCTCCAGCAGCGCGCGCACCGTCTGCCGGGCGCACTCCACCATGTGGCCCACCCTGCCCCTGAGCCTGTCGGCCATGAACACCGGCGCCACCACGTGACGCTGGTGCGACCACGTGGCGCCGTTGGCCATGATCAGGCCGCGGCCGATGAAGTGCTTGGCGCCCTGCCGCTGCAGCCACGACTTGCCGGTGACGTGCGCATGCCTCGACGACAGCAGCTCCCGCACCATGCCCGCGTCCGTCACGCACACCCGGGGCTCGCTCCCGTACCAGTACACGAACAGCCTCCCTGCACAGGCGCAAGCAAGCAAAAGCCTCCTCCGGTCAGCTCCGCCTCAGCGAACCAGCACCGGCCGGCCGGCAATGTGTCGTGTCGTGAGCTACTCACCGTACATCTTGGACCACAGTACATAATGGGGCAGAAGGCGGCCGACGATGTCGTGACTCAGGGAGCTCATGTCACCGGCGGTGGCCTCGGCGACGAGGGTAGAGACGTCGCGGAGGTTCCCGACGAGGAGGCGTGGCGGCGGGCCGTGCACGCCCTGGCCGGCCAGGATTGTCCGGATCCTCGCTGGCGTGAGGTAGTAGCAGGAGACAGTGATCCATGCCGCCCTTGTCAGCAAGAACAAGAGTGGCAACGCGAGCACGAGGACGACCACGCCCAATGCCATGCTGGCCTTGTTCCGTTCGCAGCTGCCAGTGCCAGAGCCAGTGGTAGCTTGCGCTAGAGCACCCTGCATGTATTTATATTTATATATAACGAGGTGGCACATCCAATGTGCAACTAACAAGGCTAGCTAGCAAGTTTTGTTCGGTCAGTTGGTCCCATCGTTCATTCGCTCGAGGTTTCACCTTTTGTTCGGCCTATTCGTGAATTTCAAAGGAAACATTTCAAATTCAGTACTGTGAAACAAACATGATGCCAGTGTTTTGAACAACCTGCAGTTTCTTGTTTGTTGATTACATTTGTTTGTTTACACAACGGTAGCGATCAACTATGCGGAAGATAGTAGTTTTTGACCGACTTTTGACCGGAAAGCAGAGGCCAATTTGGTAAATTTGAGAGTTAGTTTGTGGTGCGTTAGTGGGGGGAGGGAGTGCTTGGGCATAAAGTGGCAAACCGGCATGGTTAAGATAACTGCATTGGTTAAGTACAACTGGTGTGGCAATCAGTCCTGCCACTAAGTGAAAAAGAGGCAGCATATCTTCAATATTGAAACAGATTGTTTATGGCAAAGGCATCTCAGTTGATACCTTCATTTGGGCTTCTGGGTTTTCATTAGAGTCATGATAAGCATGCGGTGGGTGGGGTACAAATATCTGGTCAGTTCATTCAGTTACCACAATTCACAACTGCAGAAGAAACAAGTTTTTTTTTTAATCTGAATTCACAACTCACATTTGAATCATGGTAGTCATCAGTTCCTGTAACCAAAGGTTGAAATCCACTTCAAACAAGATTATATGTGAATTCAGCAGTTGAAAAAAAATGCCTGTTGTGTAAGCATATGGCAAAGTCAGTCATTCCTTCAAAGAAATATTTCTGGTGACTTTATTCTATTCTGTCCACTTTCAGTCATCACAATTGGTACCATATATGCTCTGTTACAAGGAACATTGGTACTGTCCACTTGATACAAGTAGCAGAAAACTATTGTGGTCACTTCAGATGGGTGTGACTTAGGGAAGAGTAGAGTCTTAATAGGATGTATCACAAACCTCCAGACACCACATAGAGGTCAAAGGCCACAAGGTCTTTTTCAGTGAGTTGATTGAATAGAATGCACCTGAAACTGAAAGTTGGAGGCTGAGATTATAATAAAATTCATTGAAATAAGTCCTCCCTCGGTTTTGGATGCAGCTTAAAACTCAAGCCAGGCGGATGGATGTATTTGGCCTCTGAGCCTCATTCCTGTGAAACATGCACTGCACCTCTTCACATGTCAAGCAGTTTCTCTTCGCTTCAGAGTGTTGTATACTTCCCACTGAACTTCAGCGGAAGACTTGTTCTGCTGGCCTGCTAAATACTAAGCCGGTGACTCTTGAGAACAAGAAAGCGAGGATGCCATGCATATACGTTTTCATGACAACGATATTAGATACGTAACAATTTATTTCAATCATTTTCCACGGCACATTTTGCGAATATTTGATTTCCCAATTTATTGCAAACACGTAGCTAATGTCCCAAAAAAAAGTCTGGTGTTGCGAAGTGTACCAAAAGTCCAAAACTGAGTGGCAAAAACTGGCAGTTGTTCCACAATGTCGGTGCTTTGTTGAATCAAGAAGGGGCGTAGACTACTAAGATTTGATCGAGACGAGAGCTTTGCATTTCTTCGACAGCAACCAGGTGACAGTGGCTCCTTTTTTATTCACAAATGATATGTCAAACTATTCAACTGAGCACACATCTCGAAAACAAAAGATTGCTTATATTAAGCACATTTGACATCATTAATTTAAAAAAAAGGCCTTCACGAGCGTTTATGATGGAGATAATTTATTGCACATGTTACGACGCATTATCGTGAAATTTATAAGCAAACAGGTTGCAAATATCTTGAAATACTTGCCAGACTGACGCCCAGCTTGAGAAGACGAAAGCTGGCAAAACATATTCTGCAGACACAGACGTGATCTAGCAGTACGCCAGATAGATTTGGGAATCTTTGTTCAGGGGCGCAAACCGCAGAGAGACCTGATTCCTGAAACCAAATAGCGCGTTTCCGACATCTTTTCAGTGACAACTAGCCACCATGAAACCGTCTGGATGGTCCAGGAGCCGCATCACAGTCACACCTCCGGCATTTTCCGGAATAGGCTTGAGAGGAGCAAATGCTTGCAACAAGTTCAGGAGATTCTCATCCTGGCCTGCTTCAAGATGGCATGTGCAAGCTTTATTCCAAGCTTCTGCAATAGAGCCGCGGGAGGTGTCCCACAGATTGTTGTGAGCCAGTGTCTGCTTGTTCCCAACACCTGCAGAAATAACTAGGCTACAAATCAAAAGGATCATAAAGTGTATCAGATCAATCTTACAACAAAGATAGGTAAGTTCAGAGTCATGTCTATTATATATATTATTTTAAAAGAAAAAAAAAACAGTTCGACAAAATGTAGGTAAGTGGAACACATGCTGCAGCAATTGACCTCAAACTAACTCAACAACATATTTAAGTAACAGGATCCAAGGTTAAGTTTTCAGCTACAACCTCACGCTTTTCACCCTGAACTTGAATTTTTTATCAAAAACCAGAAACTACAGGTCGGTTTAAAATCAGCAAATCTCTCTTGTTGACAACCATGAATACAGCTTGTGTTCTGATGAACAAGTGTTGCCATCAGCTCCCTAGAGGAAGGGTGTAGAAAAAAAAAAATGAGAGGACAACAAACTGAAACGCCACTGCCATGAGGTAACAGAGGCTTTGCGTTGCAAGCAATCAAGCAACAACAAAGCTGCCATGCAGGTATCTTGGATGCTGGTTTGATCCATAGATAATGATGACTGCAGTGGAACCATCGGTGTTCCCCTTAAATTTTCTTTTCTATGGTCCAACGTCCTTCATGATAACACCTGGTGCTAATTGCAGGGAACACCAGTTAAAATCCAAACTACTGGTTATCACTTGCCAGCCTCGTCACCCCTGGCCCCCAGACACTAGTGTAGCAGCCTAGAATGTGGTGAATGCATTCAAAGCTAAAGAATTATTAAGCTTCTAAAAGTTTTTCTATGCACTACAGCTGCAGTATCGAAGAATCAGATTAATGAATAGTACAAGCACTATTTTTTTTTCATTTCTAACCCATTTTGTTACCTTTCCTAGTTTAATTGAGATGCAGAATAAACTCTAGTGACAGCATATGACATCCACAATACTGCTACCATGATAACAAAGGGATCAATTGAGATGCAGAATATGACATCCATCCCTTTCAAATATGAGTAACAAATGTGTACAATCACTAGTGACAGCATGGAATCTTACTTGGAATTTCAAGTTATTCATCTTCATCATGCACACAACAAAACTAGGGCCTCCATCTTGCCATCAAGCATAAAAGAGTCACAAGTTCCAGAAAATTGCCACCATCCAAAGCACATAAGTGGGGAAAAAATCAACCATTTCACTTTCATGTAATGGATTTATGGATTCAGGAGTGCAGCATTAGGGCAAATGGCTCACATACTAATCCTAAGTGAATAGGATTAGCATGCCTCAATGAATATGTACCCAGGCCCGGAACACACCGCCTGTCACACCATGGAATTGGTTTCGCCTGAAGCATTGGACCAATGATCACACATTGACTTCTGTGTACCATTAGTGCCACAAAGACATTTGGTGGTCTTATTCGTGCATATCACGATGGGGTCTTCGACTAGGGTCAGGGAAGCCGTAGAGGGACCTGTGGCTGGATTGAATCCTTAGTCCTTAGGGATAGAAATATCCTCATCTACTTAATTTAACTAAGGACCTCAAAGATCACGCTGGGCATTACAATCAGCAGGATAACTGTCTTCACATACATTAGCATCAACACTACAAAAGCCATGTTGCAAAACGTTATAACGAAATATGGACTATTGAACCAATTAAGCCCATACGATGCATATGGTTGCCACACAAACCATATTTATACTAGAAAGAAATGCACCACTGGTCCAAACTTTACCCACATTCTCATTTGGGTCCATGAACTCTCAAAGTGATAATCTGGGATTCTGGGTCATTCAATCCTTTCAACTTTTCAACTGGTTCATTCTAATCATGGATCTGAATTCACAACTTCGAATGAACCACTTGAAAAATTAAAGGACCCATATGATCACTTTGAGAGTTTATGGACCCATATGATCACTTTGAGAGTTTAGGGACCCAGAGTGTATTTCACTCTCTATACTACTAGTATTAGACAAGATTGCAGACAATTGTGCAGGTGAAGGGGGAAAATAACATGATGATTGATAACTTTCTCCATGTTAGTTATGCTGCCTATAATATGAAGACAATATATAAAATGTATCCAAAGATAAGATAGTAAATGGACATTTGCCCTACTCAGCATGGGGTCATTAGCATCCATTTTGAGCTGTAAGACTTAAAAAAGGGCGTACCCAGTGCAGAGAGCTCCCGCTCTGTGCGGGGTCTGGGGAAGGGTGTCAGTGGCAAGCCTTACCCTCGCCCGTGCAATGCGAGGAGACCGCGACTCGAACCCGGGACCTTCCGGTCACAGGCAGTAAGACTCTACCGCTTGCAACAGGCTATAAGACTTAAACACAGACCAAAATGGATTCAAATGTTCAAGAAACACAACAGACTTACAGTGCTTAGGTTCATTACATTAACCAACTTAATATGATTTACACATTAACAAAGCAGGCATGCTGACAGAAATAACCAGTCAAAAAAAATGTTATTTAATTCTTGACAATTTCTTATGCATTTTGAAATGGTACAAATTTTAAATCCATTATATTATATATATGATATATGTAATATGTATTGTGTATACATGCCAAGAGTCAACCATGCTGTACTCACTCTGTTTACCAATTGTCTACTTAAATTATTACTGTTCCATCTTAAACCATCGTATATTATGCCACAATCAGGTCAGCACTTGTTGGCCAATTTGACAAGACAAAAAACGTGGCAGCTCTGCATTCATAACCATTGGATCACGTAATGTGTGACAGTAAACAAACAGCCGTAATATGCTAATACTGCCTTAATTCAGGTGGTGGTAGAGCATGTCCCTTATTCCCTTGTATACATTTTAAAAAAAAATGGCATGCCAATCCTTGTAACGGCAGGAATATTGATGGAGAGACTTCCTCCAGTACTCCAGAAAGCAGTCATTATTATAAGTACTAAAAAATGGAACAAAACTAATTATGGCCAAAATACCTTGGTATCCTATTTGATGTACAAAAGGTCAAAAGCACTAAGACAACCTTTCTCCTGAGAAAAAGACATCAAAGTCAGTTTCATGACATCGAAGGAAAATGTAGAGGAAAGAAGAAAATCATCAGTTTCATGACATTGAAGGAAAATGTAGAGGAAAGAAGAAAATTGTTCACCTCACAGCTGGTCCAAACTTTGAGCAGAGTTTAACATGGTCACAGGCCACTGTAAATTATTGTATATTCAACAACACATGAAATACTGCACACTGGCAACAGGATGATACAAAATGCCAGATGAAAAACATAAGTGTAAAAAGTACACAAGTGTTTGAGCTCAAAATTAATTGATTCATCATGTTTAAATGGACCTCGTACAGCGATAATGCCCATTGAAAAAAGCAAAAGGGATAAACATGAGAAAGTATCAGAAATAAAATTAAAAAAAGAACAGCTATAATAAAGCTGAAAGGAGTGATTGTGATTCTGCTACCAACATAAATATTTACAAATTGAAACAGGAAAATTATGAAGTTAATCTGAATTCACCCCTACAGAAGTGCATGGTTCCAGTATTTCTGTCCCTTGAACATATGCAGCATAAGCAGAAAAAAACAGTGCTGCCAAGAGAGTCTTCCATCAAATTCCTATGATTGAACTCCATCAAGGATTTGCAACATTTTCCGGTTCAATCATCCAGACAGATCTTTAATTTCCATTTTAGTCCTACAAGGCAAATTCGCAGCCAGCTAGTCAGCTATCTCTCAAAGCTTCTGTCAAATCTCCGAGGACTCACCCTCCTTTGGAGTTCTGGCGATCTGGGAGCAGAAATACGAGTCCGAAATTTATCTCCAGTATTATTTCTGAATTGCTTTACAGCACCACTCCGGTCATATGGCTTGACAGAATGATTCGCATATCTATCAGTGTATTCCCTTTCATCTTCACCATTTCTGTCATGCTTGTTTTCCCTATCATAACCATAAAGAAGTCTTCCTTGTGTCGGACGGTAGAATTCTCCAGACCTTGGTCGTCCTTGGGAGTCCATTGCATCAAATCTGACATTCCGTGAGGCAATTCTCAGAGGTGGGCTTCTCCTTGAATATATTTTATTATGATCATCAGAAATATCTACTGCTGAACCATTCCTTCCATCAACCCATGTTGAATCATGCTGGGAGTAAGTGTTGTTTCTTGATAATGGACTGTAACGCATAGCTCGATCATCATATCCAGGTTGTCTCTGAGGTGAAGCCATTCTAACAATTCTACCTTTAGCCATGTGATTAGGTGGAGATCTACTATGCCTCCGTAAAGTTGAACCTCCATTTGCCAGGATCTTGCTTCTGTTCCTAGGTGCCCAATCATGTGGGGATCGAGACCTGGACCCAGAAGGAGATCTGCTGTGAGCACGGGAAAGGTTAAGTGATGCTCTAGACGTTGGGGTGCCTCGTTGTCTACTGGACAGTGAGCAACGGACAGAACTCAAATTTCCATCAGTAGTATGATCTTTCTCCGTCTCAGGACCATATCGACTGGACCGGTTACTATTTGCACCAAAGTGGCGCTCTGGAGATGCTTCCCTAGCATGCACGGGACCTCTGGACATCCCGCAAGCTCCATCCCTGTCAATTGGGGAACCCCGTCCAGAAATCAGGTGGCCTGAGCTACTTAAAGTATTTCTCATCCTTCTGGGCATCTGACCAGCATTTGCAGCATCAACAGCTCTTACTAGAGTGCCATCACGTGCAACAACAAAGCCACTGCTTTCCATCTTTGAGACAGCAGCTTCTGCAGCATTCCTTGGACCTGATGGGCCATAATTATAATATTCAGGTGATTTGCGCCGAGTAGAACGAGGATGTTTGGAATTTTCCACCCACTCCCCCCGGCCGCTTGTCTGAACATGCCGCAATGCGCCATACATGCCATGCGATCTATGAGAGTCCATTGTCCTTTCAGATTTTGAGCCTGAGCCATAACCATCGTCAGATCTGCATAAAATAAGGGGTATCATGATCTTAGTCAATGGTGTCAAGACACTGAAATCATTAGGAACTGAAAAACCATCAAGACTATAAAACGAAGTCACTAAAAAATTATACCTGCTCAGTTCATTCCTCTGGGGTCTGTCAAATGATTTTTGCCGCTCCACTCGTTGAAGATCTCTATTCGATAGTCCCTTTTTTCGCAGTGACTCATCATCTCTAGCTGCATCTGAGCTCAAAACACACCGGTTAGACGAATCAGTCACGTCCCTTGCATCATGTTGAGAGTGCTTTTGATCTTCAGGCTTCATATCCCAACCTGTGTTCTTCATTCTGATATTTAACATATCATCACTTAAGGCATCATTGCACCTTTCAGACTGGCTGACTGTTGTAGCAGATCTAACTGATACACGGACTGTGTTTGACCCATACATCTTAGTATCACCTCTCGAATGAATACTTTGAGCCTTTCCATCAGCAATAGGTCCACCATCTAAGCAGTTTGTTAACCATGAACGCTTAGATGAGACAGGTGAAACAGCAACGTCTTCCTTTCTAGATTGTGTTCCATTGTAATTAGCAACAGGAATAACCACATTCTTTGCAATAGAATCAGCATGGAGAGGTGCGAGGCCAGGAGTGGCTTCTTCATTCTTGTAATCTGATACCTGATAATGCCAATTGGCAAGTTTAACTTCTTCATATCCATCACCCACCCAATAACAATCACCAGATTCTCTAAGTTCCCCATCCTCATATTGAGAATCATCCTCCTCAACATCAACTTTTTCAACCCCAGCTAGATTTTTGCTAATATGTGATGTGTCAGTTTCATAGCATTGATCTAAACAAACATTTGATACGACCTTCCCAAGCTCATTTTTGCAACCATTCTGGTAGCTGTGTGCTGCAGCTTTTGAATCCACAGTGCTGCCCGCATCAGTAATAAATTCCGGTTTGTGGCATTCTGAACTGGGGCCAGGAACCCGAAGAGCCGCATCTGAAATGCAATATGTCTCTAAAGTGCTACTGTTGGCACAAGTAATTAAAGAATCTTTTGAATTAATCATTGCAACAGCACCATCTTCTTCATGTGCATGAGCCATATCACAATCAGAAGATCCATGATTGTCCTCTGGATGAATGAGATCTTCTGCATCTTTGGCTCTTTTGTTGGCATAAAATATATCAGTTTCATGTTCACCCTTCTTACTAGTTCCTGAATCAACATCCAAAAGCTCCTGGTTCTTAGATTCAGATATGCTTTGTTCAGAAGCTTCTTCAAGCTTATTATCACTCCAGCGAAAGTCAGTAACCTTTTTATGGAAAGTGCCTACTGTTGAAAGGTTTGTGCTTTCCTCAGAAACTAATCTGCTAGACAAAGGCTTTACTGTGGTGCCCAATTCACTTGTTTGGAGTGAATTACTTCCAACGTGGACATTCATAGAAGACATATCAGACAGACCTTCAGAATGAACAGGTTGGGGATATGAACCATCGATTTTCTCCACATTCGCAGCTGAAGCAAAATGCTCCATGATAAGAGCTGGCTCTGGATCAGATCTAATGTGTGAATCCATAACGGTTGTTGGAAGGTTTGTGCTATCCTTAGAAACTAATCTGCTAGCCAAAGGCTTTAATGTGGTGCCCAATTCACTTGTTTGGAGTGAATTACTTCCAACATGGACATTGATAGAAGACATATTAGACAAACCTTCAGAATGAACAGGTTGGGGATGTGAACCATCGATTTTCTCTACATTTGCAGCTGAAGCAAAATGCTCCATGATAATAGCTGGTTCTGGATCAGATGTAATGTCTGAATCCATAACGGAAGCAAACCTACTATTCTGCTGGTCAGGCAAATCCATTGTTTCTGCAAGGGCATCGTTCCCTACAGATCCAGATTCCAATAGCTGCAAGTTTTGTGAAGGGTGAGACGAACCGGCAGCAGGACAATCGCATGTATCCTTTGTATTAGCAGACACATGTTTCAGTGCATCAGCCATATGAATTGTGTTAATAGAGTGATCAGCTACACTACCATCTCTTGACTCAAAATGATGAGGTGTCCCTGGTTTGTTCATATCATTTCTAGCATCATCATGATCAATTACAGTAGAAACTAAAGGATCATCAACATCACCACAATCAGTGTCCCATGCCTCCATGGCAACATTAAGATCCCAGTGCAGCCTAGAATCGCGAGTCGCATTGGCATGGTTGGTTTGCACAACTGTATCCTGTGAGCATCCTATAGTTTTTTCTGGATTGTCTGAGCTGTTTGCAATTGCAAAACTTGAAGACTTAGCATCAGAAACAAGTTCTGTTTTGTTTGCACTGTTCAGTGCAGAATAGGATGAACAATTAACCTTGGGAGCATATGCCGATTCAACAAAATTTTCTGAGATAGTTGGTGTGGCAACAAATAAGGACTTCATATCTGGAGCAGAATTAGAAGACCCGAGAGGCCTATCATATATGCAATGTGAAGTACCAGGAATATTTAACTTATCCTCCATGTTATGTAATAGACTCAATTTGCTGCTACCAGTAGTATTTTCCAGCTTCCTTTCTTCTGGAGGGTGAGCTAACTTTGAGCATTCCCCATTTAATAATTCACCACCCATCTCACTCTCACAAGCAGCAGAAGCTAGTATATCAATACCAGAAAAATCATCGGCACCAAAACAGCCTTTGTTTTCCTCCTTATATTCAATTCCTTGCATCTTAAGCTTGCAATGCTTCTCATATGATCTGACAGCTTTAGAAGAGCTTCCCAGTATCTTCTCATATGGATCCACTAGCAATGGAGTTGGTGGAGGTGATGGAGAACAATCCATATGAAATCTCCTCTTTTTTATAGGAACATTTTCCATGGGATCACTAAAGCGTCTACCGAGAATGGATACTCCAAGCTGCAAAGACACAATATGATAATTCAACAATTTTGTCAGTAAAGGATGCATTGACTAAATTATTTCATTGTATTTCAATGGAGAAAAGTAAGAACCTTCTCAGATTCAGAGACTGCAGCATCTTGTGACATCTCTTGATTTGTAGCACAGCCAAATAAATAGAAAGATCCAATTCCATCCCTGCTTGTTTCTTCGCCAAAGGAGGTCCGTGCTCTCCTGGTGGCTCTTTGCCTTCTGTTTCCAGTCTTCCATCTAACCTCAAGATCTAAAGGCCTTGGGAGCTCCAAGCCCATATTCTTAAGCTTGCCACTACACGATGGCCCACCTCTGTCTGCTGTTGATTCACCAGTACAGCCTTTGCAGGTCATTGAAATATCTGTATTCTCAAGATTATGAGGCGATGAAGATGATAGCCTTCCAGTGCAAGCGCAAAATTTGATCTGTAAATTAGCCAAGCTAACCATAAGATCCTGAACAGCAGAAAGTGAAGAATACAATGAAGAAAATATTGGTATTTTAGCAAACTGATCTAAAACAAGCTTTTGGCTAGGCACAGTCTATGAAAGATAGAAACCACTGTGTTCGCAAATTGTATGCATACCATCAAATTTGATGGTCTTCCTGCTATTGCTGTGGAAACAGGTGAACTATTCATATCAACCACACCCTTGGATCCAATTGATCCCTCTGGAAAACAAAAACAACATAAGGTTGGTATATTGAGCACCACACCACCAAAGCTTATGGTACTGTTTGAAGAATAATAGCATCAGTCCACATAGCATGCACATAAGCAAGAGGTAAAAAAACTATAGAACGCCTCCGCAGCCATGCCACCACCACTGGTCACCCATCATCAGCCACTACTTGAACCCTCCCAGTGCAATTCAGAAAGAAGTTCCGAATTCCAGGTTCCAGCCCAGTGCACATACAAACAAGCAATCTTATCCTGCAGCACACAATGAAAGCCAGAGGCTAAACCAAAACCAATGTCCTTCTGCCTGAGTTGAACCCAGTACCCACGAACTAACACAACAGCTCCTTGCCAAATCAAGTCAACAGCCTTCTGCCGTCAGCTATCGGCCTTCAGACCAGAGAGCACCAATTTCTCTCCTTTTTGGAAACAACTGATTCCACGTAAGGCAAGTAGATCTGGAATCGGGTCGAATTTCCGATGAACACCTCCTTCCAGCGGACCAGTAGAGACGACGAAGAACTGCTGCAAGCCCGTTAGTTGACCAGAGGAGAAATCCGCGGTCAACAGTCCAGGATCCCTGAGACAAAGCAGATCTGAAGTCCGACGGGCGAGAAACTGTCCTTCATCCACACCACATGAAGAAACCAGAGGAACCCAGGGTGATCTCCGTGGCGGCGCCGGCGGCAGAACCACAACCCCCGCCAAATCGGGGCGTCGGGGCAGCGGCGGCCGGCAAAGCAGCAGCCGCGGAGTGTACTCAGATTTCTAAGATCTAGGATTGCAAATACCTTTTGCTCCAGCTTTCCTCATCAAAACCAGCGCCGCCGCGTCCGCGTCAGCCTCTCCCTCCTGTCCACGCTCCTGCGCGTGAGTTCCCAGGACTCAGCTAGAAGAATCCGAACCCTTCCGTCCCATGGCTTCCCTCACTCCCTGGATTCCTTGCGTGCGCCTGGGTGTGAAGAAATTCCTGGCGGCTCCTCCTCTTTTTGGCTTTTGACCTCTGGCTGCGCCGGGCCAGGCCGATCGATCGACAACGCCTGTTCCCTGCCGCGGCTCCCGCTGCTGTCTCCGCCGATGCCGCCGCAGCCGCCTCGCCGTCGCCGCCGGTGGCGATTTTTTTTATTTTTATTTGGACCCCTTCCTTGTGCGTGCTACTTCGCCGCCTGCGGGTGGGAGGAGAAGACCAAGACCATGTTTTTCTGTGACTTTGCCAGGGCGCCGTATTAATACTCCCCCACTTGTGTTTTTATTTTCTCTCTCTCTCGCTTGGTTTGGGCATGGACGCGAATCCGGTCTAGGGGATTGCCCCTCCATAGCACAAAGCCCCGCATGGATTATATTACTATTAATTACTCTCTTATAGATGAACCGTATTTAGCTGTCGGATCCCTAGCAAACGCACAGGATTCGTTAACGAGTGTTTTTAAGCTGGGGCCTGTTAGGAACCCACCATTTCGCAGAAATCGCGCCGAAGTTCACAGGAATCAAAACCTAAACATTGTTCAAGAGAGATTTCACAAAAAATGCATAAATAGAAAAAAAAATCCCACATTTCAAACAGGCCCCGATACAATATACGGAGTATAGCGCAAATGATTTTTTTTCATACAAAGTTAAGCATGGACAAAAAAAACTTATACCTCAGTTGATGGCGTAGCTTCGTTCTAAACATGGTTTTAATAAGACAGATTTGGCCCTGGGACATTTGAAAAACATGTAGGCCCCGTTCGCTGATATGGAACTTGGCTGAAACTAGTTGTTCGTGTGAGAGAGAAATACTGTAGCGGCTGAAAGATGCACAGTGATTTGTAAGAGAAGTAGCGTAAATTTGATGCGAAAAAATCGAGACCAAATGAATGGCGCCAGAATTGGTCATGCGACACACCACTAACTGCGATATTGGCTTCGGCGCACTCGAAAATCATTTTTTTAACACACCGTCCCCTTTAAAATATAATTTTCACCGGGCACGAGAGAGAAGATAGGAGGAATGACGTGTTTGCCCTCATCTTCTTGCTATAGTTGCTCTAAAAACTTACACTAAGCTATTGTTGATTTTGGCACTATGGCAGCTACTGCTGCTATATCATGTTTTAGTGCCGCCAAATTGCTTAGTTGTAGCGCAAAAATAATGGCGCTACTTTGGTTTGAGCTAGCAGGAATCAATGAGACGGCATTAGTGAAAACCCACTAAGCGGCTAAGTCCACTAAGGTACGAAACAAATGGTATTGGATATATGGGACCGGGATAACTCACCGCCTGTATTCTGGCCCAAGCCTGACAACTGGGCCCAAGACAATAAGGGTGTGATTGGTTGGCATGCAAGCACCGGCCCTGCCCTGCTGATGCAGCTTTGCAACGAGTGATTGGCTACATGCTCGCTGGGCCTGGCCCACCGTATGCAGCAAGCCCCGTGAAAGCTCTAGTTTGGTTTTGGTGAATTGATGAAACCCTAAGTGCTAACCTAGTTTATCAAGTGATCATGATATAGGTAGCACACTCCAAGTGGTGAAGCAAATGAAGATCATAACATGATGATGGTGATGCCATGGTGATGATCAAGTGCTCGGACTTAGAAAGAAGAAATAGAAAAACAAAAGGCTCAAGGCAAAGGTATAAATTGTAGGAGCCATTTTATTTTGGTGATCAAGACACTTAGAGAGTGTGATCACATTTAGGATCGATAGCCGTACTATTAAGAGGGGTGAAACTCGTATCGGAATGCGGTTATCAAAGTGCCACTAGATGCTCTAACTCATTGCATATGCATTTAGGATCTAGTGGAGTGCTAACACCCTTGAAAATGTTTGTGAAAATACGCTAACACATGTGCACAAGGTGATACACTTGGTGGTTGGCACATTTGATCAAGGGTGGTAAAGTTTAGGTGCAAGGGTAAGAAACTCCACCGGCGCCCTAGACAGAAAAGACAGAGGTCACTGTGAGTGACCGGACGCTGGCCTCGGTTGGATCGGAGCGTCCGGTCAGTGGCAGCAGAGGGCGTGCATTTCGGTCTCATGACCGGACACTGGGTCGCTCAGCGACCGGACACTGGCAGGGTGCGTCCGGTTAGTGCTGACGTACGCTGACGTAGGGCGTACAGAGGAGACGTTGTGTGACCGAACGCTAGCTGGGTCCGGTCAAGCATGACCGGACGCGTTCGGTCGGGAAAAATCGCGTTTGGAACCTTACTGGAAACGATCGGACGCTGAAGTCTAGCGTCCGGTCACTTTCTAACTGACGCGTCCGGTCAGCAGACGACCGTTGAAATCTGACGAACATTATTTGAAGCAGGGGACACGTGGCGTGAATCACGTGACCGGACGCTGAGGGCCTGCGTCCGGTCGATCGGACCAGAGCGTCTGGTCACCCCGCGTTGTGCCCAGTGAAGGGGTACAACGGCTCTATTTCATGGGGGCTTCTATTTAAGCCCCATGGCCGGCTCAAGCTCACCCTCTTGGTCATTTGCATTGACATAGCAACCTTGTGAGCTTAGCCAAAGCCCTCCCACTCATTTGCATCATAGATTAAATATCTTTGTGAGATTGGAAGTGATCCAAGTGCATTGCTTGAGTGATTGCATCTAGAGGCACTTGGTGATTGTGTTTCGCTGCGGATTTCGCTTGTTACTCTTGGTGGTTGCCGCCACCTAGACGGCTTGGAGCAGCAAGGATCGTTGAGCGGAGGGTGGTGATTGTCTCCGGCTCCGATCGTGGTGATTGTGAGGGGTTCTTGACCTTTCCCCGGCGGAGCGCCAAAAGGTACTCTAGTGGATTGCTCGTGGCTTGTGTGATCCTTATCTTGTGTTGGTTGTGCGGCACCCTATTGAGGGTTTGGCGTGTGAAGCCAATTAGCGCGTGAACCTCCAAGTGAGTGAATCACCACAACGAGGACTAGCTTATCGGTAAGCAAGTGAACCTCAGTAAAAAATTATTATGTTCATCATTGATTCCGAGGTGATTGGTCTTCATTGTTATCCACACTTGTGATTGATTGGTTCATACATCTACACAGCAGTATAACCTTCTTGCCTACTCCTTACCTTACCGCAAACTAGTTGTCAAGCTCTTTAATGTAGCTAGTTGTGAGAGCTTATTTGCTTGGTTTGTGTGGCTCTTTAGTTAGCCTTTGAGAGCACACTAACATAGAGTAGTGTCATAGCTATTGTGTGATTAGATACTATCTAAATTAGAATTGCGGTAGGCGGCTTGCATTTTAAGTAGGCTAGCGCAACACTTGCTTCGCCTCATAATTATCTAACCATTTTGATTAAGTGTTGTTGTAGAAATTTTATTAGGATATTCACCCCCCTCTAGCCATTAGGACCTTTCACCCCGTCGAGCCAGGCTGTGGGGAAACGAGAATCCATTCCGTTTCCTCCGAGCCAGGCTCACGCCTCACGGGCGTGCGGTCTTTCTTGCGCTGCTTCTCTCTAGGACGTCCCAAAAACTTGGACAACCAATCAATTGCGTGGTACAGTCTGGCCTCAGCGGCACAAGCAACCAAACATTATTGCCTGCACACGCAGAAGCTGGCCTCCGTCGGCCTGGCTCTAAGGAATGAGGCTCATGTACATCGGCGTATCAGTAAACGTGGAGATCAAATTGTTAAGCGTAGACAGCCTACATTTTGATATCCGCAAGATATGATCGAATGATATGTTATACTTTATATGTAACAAACTAGGAAACACATCTGTTAGCTGACCGTGTCTATTGTAACCTTAGCCCCAGGCTATATAAGGAGGGATAGGGACCCTCGATCAGGATCCTATTCCTTTTACATTCTAGTGCATAGCTATAATCAACAACCCCTCTAACCAAGCATACGAATACACAAAGATCCACTTCAAAATGGATATTGGGTACCATATACCTGAACCAGTATAATCCCTGTGTCTTGCGTGCTACCCATCTGATTCCCAGTAGGCGAATACGCTGATTTGTATTGCTGGAGTAAATACTTTCAACAGTTGGCGCTCTAGATATGGGACTTTTACGCAGATTTGTTATGTTTTAGATGGGCCTCATCACCAGGATCGACAATGATGCCGACCAGATGCAACCAGGAGACAAGATCACTTCCGACGGCCTGGGCTTCGTCGCCGACTGGTTTGGGAACTTGTGCCTGCAAGACCTTGAACCACCCACACAATAGGAGAGTAACCGCCCACCATCTGCATGTTCCTCGCTAGGCTCAAAGGTGCCGTGGAGGCGGGGCCAATCGCCTTGGCCCACCACATGAACCTCTACGCTAAGGAAGCTTTCTCCAAGTTCAGTCGAGAGTACCTCCTTGAGACGACCTTCGAGATCTAGAAAGATCCACGCTAGACCCATGACACAGATCCACCATCACTACCTGACTACGTCCTACCTAGGTTCCTAATCATGCTCCTTTTAGCTTCGCTAAGCCATCGAGACCCCGCACAGGGCTGGTGAAAGGTCCTTGTTTGGTTTTGGTAATTGTGTGACAATCTAGATGGACTAATGTGTTTAAATGTGAGATACACAGGTGATTAGTTCACAGGTACACTTGTGTGAGCAACTCATTCCATGACGGTGAAGATGGCTTGGAATTATTGTAAGGCTCACACATGTGATGAAGGAGCTCATTGCATATGAGATATGACATTGAGTCATGTGACTAAGGTGGACAAGATCAAGACAAGACTTGGCTTGATGGACCGGTTACAAGTGTGAAAGGCAAGTTGGAGTCTTTGAAGCGATGAACCGCATGGCAGTGAAGCTTGAGCAAGACTTGGCGCCGATGGACGAAGGCAACGGTGAAAAGCAAGTGAGGTCAAGATCGA